GGGCGGCGGCTGGGAAGAGGGTGGCGGCGGCGAGGGTGGAGGAGGGGAGGGTGGCGGCACGCCTGCTTGTTGCACCAGTCGACGAGCTGCTGCAGCTGCTCGCGGGAGGCCGCGGCGCCCGTCGGGTTGTTTGGCGAGCAAAAGTAGACCACGTCCGCGCGAGGCGTGGAGGAGAGGTCGGGGAAGAAGTTGTTGGACGGGCTGCAGGGCCTGCGGACACGGAGCTGGTCGACGGCGTCAGGGCGGGACGGTCCGTGCCGCGTACTCGGAGCAGCGCGTGAACACACGGGGTGCGAGTGTGCAGTGCGCACGGCGGAGCACCGCCAACTGCGTGTCCTCTCGAGAAAAGGAAGGCCAGCGTCCCGTGATCTCGGGTGATCTCGGGTGATCTCGGGTGATCTCGGGTGATCTCGGGTGATCTCGAGGTGATCTCGAGGCGATCTTGTGCGATCTCGTGCGAGCTCTCGTGCGAGCTCGGTTGATCTCGTGTTCGGCGAGTCGGGAAGGCCAGAGAAGGCGTCTTCCGCCCCCCGCCCATCTAGAGAGAGAGAGAGGGCATCTAGGCTGGCAGTGCATGTACACGATGTTGCCGTACTGCTTGCTCGTGGCGTCCATCTCCGCCGTCTGGGCGGCGGCGGAGGGAGGTGCCGCTCAGAGGCGCGGTCTCGGCGAGAGTGGGACGAGGCGCCACGTCTCGAGCGCCGGTGGGCGGTGGGCGGACGCTGCAGCGCAGCTGCGGCGTGGACTTGTGACGATCGACCTGTGACGATGGCGTCTCGTGGGCAGTGGGAGCGGACCTGGCCCATGATGACGGAGGTGTCGACGTAGACGGGGTACGAAGGGTCCTGCACGGCGCTCGTCACGCCCGAGCCAAACATCATCTGCAGCCGGCCGATGTCGCACTTTGAGCCGTCCGAGACAAAGACCTCCGCCGCGTCGACTTTGCCGTCGTAGAGAGCAGACGCGATCTTCTCGCGGAGGGGCCCCATCCCCTGCTCGGCGCCGTAGCCAGAGTAGCCCTCCTTGGTGCCTGCGCCGCGTGCAGACAGCCGCGGCGGCCCGGCTTGAGTGGTGCGGCTGGCGCAGGCGCGAGGCGGCGGAGCGAGCGCCGCGGGCCGGAGAGTGCAGATGAGAGCAGAGGAGGCGCGGGGGCGGCGGCAGGAGCATGTCGCGTGCCGCGCGCGCTCGTGCGTCAAGGACCGCGCCCCTGCGCGGGGCGCGCGGGAATCGCGGCTCGCGCGCGCTCACCAAGTTTGGAGGCGCCGGCGACGAGGCCAGAGAGGATGTGCGACGGCACCGGCTGCGTCGTGTCGCCGATCCCGAGCGAGATGATGTTGGCGTCCGGGTTGGCGGCGAGGTACGCGCTCCGCCGCCGCCCAATCTCGGGGAATAGGTAGCCCGCCTGGCAGGCGCGAGGCGGGCGTGAGGCTCTCTCTTCGGCCGCGCGAGGAGGCGACGGGCGTATGCGGACCTGCAGCTTGCCAAAGTTGGCATTGCGAGCCACGCCGCTCATCTGCACGCCGGCGCGCTCCGCGCCGACCGCAGGGCGGGAGGGCGCAGCAAAGGCGGTCGCTGCGATCGCGAGAGAGGCTGCCATCGGAGGTGCACGATGCCGACGTGAGCTTGATCTCGGGCTGTCAAGCAGCAGTGGGTACAAGGGACCCGGACTTGAGCACTTGAGCACTGGATAGGGTCGATTCCGCGTGGTACGGGATCCCTCGTTCGTCGTCTCCCCCTCCCTCGCTAAAGTATTGGGGGGTGTGTGTGTGGGGGGGGGGTCATAACAAACACATGCCAAGAAAGAATGACGGGGACGC